AGTATGACATTCACTTATTGGAGCAATTGCCGTCAAGAGCTAGAAAAAAAACAAAAGTTTTAGATAGTTCTAAGCAATACAACAGAGTCACGATTGGACCGTTATGATTGTAGAGGTGTTATTCTTGTTAGAGTTGATTTACAAAATAAATTAGTATTAGTAGCATTCTTTAGGAAGGTTTGATAGATTTATTTATATTTTATTTCGAAAACGTATATTTATTAATAATTTTCGATTAAGGTTCAGAGAAATTCAAATTATAAGAAGCTGAAAAAATGATATGGAAGAATATTCGCATGCCATCTGGCCATGCACAACTTTCTTTAGTGATAACAATTAATTCAACTGTTTTTGACAATGATATTGTTAAACTGAACTTGAATCTAGAATGTTGATTCAAGTCTAAGTTCAGTTCAAAGTTTATGAATATATTTAGGTTCAATTAATAATATTAATAAAAAATATTGAAATGAATATGTTATTTAAATCAACAAACTTTTTATAACAAATACTCTTTTTTTATACCTGTCTTGAAAATTTTACAATCAATTGAGTTTTTAAAAAAATTACACAAATAAACTTGCATGGATCATCACATTTAGCAATAAATATTATTTTACTTCTCGCACTAAATATTTTTTTGAATGATAAAAAAAAACAGGAGGCTCAAAAAACAATAGCTAATACTTATTATCTCCTAGCTTTTACCAATATGGCAATAAGTTTAACTACATATTTGACAAAAAAAATATTATTATATTTCTAAACTAAACAAATATGCAAATAACACTTTTTTGTATTTAATAGCAGCTTTATTTATAACTAAAACTGTTCAAAGTTAATTTTTCGGTTAAAAGAGAAAAATGAAACAAATATATAAAACAAACAAACAATTTTTAATATAGTAAGTCTATTATAACAAATTGACTTCAAGTTAAATTTAGTTTAGAGATTCTAGCTGAGTTACTAATCAGGTTAAATAAATTTAATTTAGTAGTTTACATAACATTCTTATTATAAAAGAGAGAAACAAAAAATAAATAATTGTCTAAAGGACTTTTACTGTAGAAGTATAAACTACTTTCTGTCTATGTGCTTGCAAATTACGGCTTTTTATTGGCTAGATTAGGTGTAATATAAAAAATCAAAACAATTATAAACTGATATCAAAAAATCAGTTCTTAAATAAAAGATTCAGAATTAACTTTTTTTGAAAAAAAATTAGACAATATATTACTAATCTTGTTCAAAATCAGAGATTTAGTCAATAATTTGAATTACTTTAATTCTAATTCAAATGAAAGAATGAGACTACAGTATATAAATGTTGATAGTTAGAAATTAATTAATAAATATTGTTGGTTAAAAAGTTAATAACTAAATTAAATAAAGTGTATTTATACATAATCTATTGTTTTTGAAAGTATCATCTGAAATACAAACACTTTCGAGTATTACCTGATCTTTTATGATATAGTGGGGAAACAAACTGCAAATTATTAAGCTTAGTTTTCGTTTGGTGATAACAGTGTCTAATATTTGAGATGATTTTAAATTTAAATGAGTGAAAATGGAATAACTATGGTTATTTAGAAATGACTAGATTATTTGAAGATTATTTAGTTTCTCAGTTTTAAAATAGGCTGGGTATTTGTATATTTGAGCCCAAGCTTAATAAAAATTTTATATCTGACCCAACCTATAAATAGTAAATGATTCAGTCATTTGATCAAGATTTAAATGATCCAAATCATCAAATCATAACAAAGTCATTAAGCTTATTTATGTAGGTCATTTGTATATAAAATAATTTTATTGGTTACCAATTGAATAAAATTTATCATATTCTATAATTTTTTTTATCATTATTAGCAAGTATACAAGAAGATTAAATTGATTAACATCTTTAGAATTTTAAAATTCTGATTTTTTCTATAAATTTTTTTGATAAAATGCTAAATATTTACATTCGTTAAGAAATAATTCATCAAAATTTGAATATATGGGGTGCCTTGTATTAAAAGGGCCCATTTGCAATTTCTCGAAAAATGAGTTTTTATTAGATTCATGTAAATTTGACACGATTTACATTTTTCAATTATAAATGAATGTCGATTTGCATAATGAAAAATTGAGATCATGTAAAAGACAAATTTCACGAGGCTGCCTAAGGCCAAGCCTTTTAAATTCGAGGCACCCCATGTGGGGTGCCAATAGAAACCAAAGCAAATTGTTTTTAATTTGCTTGTTTCTACTGGCACAACCATATATTAAAAATAATAAATTTTTTTTTGATAAAGCATACTTAACTTTTATTCCATATATGATTTCAACAAATAAGTAAAAAGTGTTGCATTTTATCATATAGGCTGATTTGAGTAATTTATAAGTAGGGTTTATTTTTTAAAAAAAAATTTAAAACTAAATAACTTTTAACCTACTAGTCTGTTTTAAATGATTTTACTACCAAAATGTTCGTCTCTTTACGAATCCAAATTATTAAAATCCAATTACAGGATAGCGAGATAATACGCTGTTAAATAGTGACGCACCTAGAGGGTGGGGTTGACTGGTTAGTCCTATGTCTAACCAATCAACCCCACCTTCTAGGTGCGTCACTATATGGTAGCGCATTATCTTGCGATCCTGTAATTGGATTTTGATAATTTTGGGCTCGTTGGAATCATCTTAAAGAGACACATTTTAGTAGTAAATTCGTTTAAAATAGACTAATAGATCTAAAGCTATTTAACTATGAATTTTTTTAAAAATAAACCCTACATATAAATTACTAAAATCAGCCCATATATTTTCGTAGCATTTAATTTTTATTTTTATCAGTAGATGTTTATGCCGTATAAACGCAATTATTTAAATTCATCTAATTCCAAAATGAATACATCACAAATAATATTTCTGTACTTTGATTTTTGGATTTTTATTTTAACATTAATATCAAAATTTTTTAGAAGATTCAAATGTTTCAGGTCATTTTTGTAATTTGTATTTGCTAATGCTTTTCCTTCACATAACAATTTAATAAATTGTATTCTAGTAAAAGTAATATCCAATTTTATAAATACCTTCGAGTCTAATCAATTAAAAAATGAAGATTTTAAGTAAGTCCAGGGGATAATTGATAAAAACTATGTCTATTAAGAATAGTCAAATAAACATTAAGCACTTAGTGAATTTAAGACCATATTTTCGTGGGAAATATTGATTGGGTGAATTTATAATTTAGTTAAATAAATAAAAAAAAATATTAACAAGTTTTATGATCTACTCTAAATTATAAGAGTTCGGTAGAAACGTAACCCACCAGTTCGTTATGTTAGATTATATAATACACATAAATTATAGCGGTAAATTTGATTTGTAGTTTGTAAAGAAAATTTTGGTCCTGGAGTCATCAAGCATTAAAAAATTATGATATCACATTTACTAAAACTAGTATATTGCAAAAGATATTCACTGCATACTCATATTCTCAACGATAATTTTTTTAACCAGATCTGCATTATTATTTGCTTCTACAGTAACAGTATTCTCCTCGTTATTTGGTTCCTCTAAATCTTTAAACTGTGATTCTAGCATATCTGCTTCCATGAAATGCCCTTCTCGTTTTTGCATTCTTTCCTTTAAAATTTGTATGTCAACTTTTAAATAAATGAACCAAACAATAATATTTTGTTCAATTAAATTCTTTCTCAAAACATTACGATAGCTAATTTTTAACGCTGAACATGATACTAAAATACATGATGAATTTTTCTCATTTGCTAATTTAGTAACTTTATCTATAATGGCTTGTAACCATGGATAACGATCCGAATCTTCAAGTGGAATTTTTGATTTCATTTTGTTGATATTTGATTCTGAGTGTAGTTCATCACCTTCAATAAAGGGAACTTTCAGTTCCTGAGAGATTAACTTTCCAAAGAATGATTTTCCACATCCACTTGTGCCCTTTAATAAGTTATAATTAATATTATATTTAATATTATAATAAAGTTTAATTATAAATATTTACCATAAAGATAAACACTTGGGTTTGGCTTGGCTCGAAATAACGAGTAGCTTTCGACATTTTTTTCTCCAATAAAACGAAATTAATATATATATATATATATGTATATACCGTAATGTCTGTATAAGAATCGGGCAAGGCCTTTATTCCTTATAATATAATTTTATAATAGTGATAATGCGAAAATATTAATTGATTTAGAGATGATGAACGTTAACGTTAGCTGTTAATAAGCAAACTAATTATCTGTTACACATTCGTGATGAAATCAGGTCAAGCTTTTGCTTTCGATTGGTAGTGTGATTATAGCCAATTAATTATGCATCGATTATAGCCATGCCACAAATTTTCACATGCAACAACATCACGGTTGATTCTAAATTACGCCAATTATGTATTAAACAGCTATTCGTTGTAAGTTTAGAAATGATCAACAGATTCTTCTATTAGAGTTATTTGCACTTTCACTTTAGTATTTGCTGATCAGTGGTTATCAATTCATCATACCATTGAAAAATTTGAAGCAACAAAAGGCAAAACTATAAAATATTCAAAAAAAAATAAGTATGCAAACTTAAATCAGAATACTTATAAAAGTGTAGGAAACCTAATGAATAAATGCTATTATTCTTCCCTATAAGAAAGTGGTCCAGGTTGTGGTACGGGAATACACGAAATGGCACGGATCGTGTGGGACGCACAGGCACGTTTTATAGAATGTAACAGGCATTACGGCAAGGGTGGCACATTATATCACGTCATACGGAACGGCACGTTCATATGACACGTACGTAGGTGTACGGGGATCTCATCAACTCACCGAAACCACAATTACTTACCGACAAGTTCATTTCACCGACAGTTTATTTCACCGAAGCCCACTTTACAGACAAAGTAATTCTGGTCAATATCATTAGTTAGGTTAGAACTAGAGCTAAAGTTAGTGTAATTTATAAAAAAAAACTTGTCGGTGAAATGAGCTTCGGTGAAATAGACTGTCGGTAAAATGACTTGTCGATGAATAATTGTCTGTGAAATGTGATGTCTATGAAGTGATTGTCGGTGAAACAATACGGACCCATGTGTACGTTGCATACGTGTTTGGATACGTGTTGGGGAGATGAAAGATTAATAAATGATTTTTTTTTAAAAAAAAGCAATATCTCATAATTTCACTGATGAAACTGCTTTGAATATTTTAACAATAAAAATTCCTTACAAATTTTACTTCATATGCAGTAGTTTGGTTATATTATATTGATTATTAATGTAAATTTTATGTTTTATCTGCTGTAAAACCCGAGCCATTTACGGTCCACCGTGCCACAAAGACCCATGCCGATCCGGCACATTTTTCTTATAGAGCTTTAGTGCTAAGTTGGTTGGACAAATATGACCGATAATAGATAATGGATTGGAATCCGTTTAGTACAGTAGTTTTAGAATTGTCTATTATAAAGTAATGGATTAGATAATAGTATTAGAGTATCCAGTAACTAGTAATAAAATATACGAAATATGTTGATCTGACTAAAAAGAACAAACCAAAATCATCGGGCAAAAATTAGGGTCCTATAATAAATGGAACTGGATAAAATTTAAGAAAAAAAATTATAGCAAATCAGTATGGCATAGGTGAGCTTTAAAAAATATACTACACGGATCAGAAAATTATAAAAACTAACGTTCATATATACAATATCTGATCAGTATAGTATAGATTTGAAAATCGGCCTATACAATATTGATCTGCTCGCTTGTACCATATTGATCTGCTGACCTATACCAGATTTCTAAATGATGTTAAATCAAATGAAAATCTGAGTATATTGCTATAAATGGTGCTATTCCAAAAGAGAGATAATGTTTTTTAATATGAGATTAAAAAAACTTATTAACCGAAAGTACAAGTGACTTTTCTCCATATTTGTCATTAATAAATATCATTCAATAGAATGAAATCAGCGCAAATGCTTTAAATGTTTATATCATTATGTATTACTGTTAGTATATACAGTATTAATAATGGCAATATATCGATGCGTATGCATTTCATTGGAGTAACTTTCTACTTACAGCTGTATTCATAAATTCTCGATAACTTACTAAAGATGGGCAAGGTAATAATGTAAGTAATAATTACTTATTTTTTACCCAATATTTACACATACATATTATTACTAATTATTCCCTATGCGGATTATTATTACTTATCACGTTTTACAAATGAGTGCTACAAAGCGAAAACCTGGAATTTAGGTTTTTACCGGCTCCGCTTTCAGATCCGACTCCTGGTAAATTTAAATTAAATTATATTGTATTATATTATATGTAAAATTAATTTCGGGATTTACTTATTTCTCACTGTGATACAAATCACATGGAATTATAAATATACAATTTGCTGTGAATTTGCTTTAACTTTAAAGTTCGGAAGAATAGATTCTATACTAAAATTTTGCAAGTAATTTTTTTTTGTTAGAACACAAAGGTGGTTTTTAGATTACGATCTACATACAAAAATCCTTTATCACGGCACGCGCTTTGCAGCATCCAAATGTAATCTGGAAGGCAAATTTTAAACTTAAAAATCAGATTAAGCTTTTGCTTATATCATAATTTTTACTTACTATTACGCAAAAAATGCTAAGAAATAATCGGAAATAATAAATAATAATACTTTACTAAACTTGCCATCTCTATAACTAACCGAGTCGGAATCAATATGTAACCGATTTCGGCCGAACTCAAAAACTTATCAATTCGGTCATCGGCAATTTTTTCATTTGTTCCAGAATTTATGAAAACAGCTGTAATATCATAGGCAGACATTCGTATGATTGGCAGTTTAAATCAATTTAATTTTACATTATTTATACAGTTTAAAGTACTTTT